CTGGGGCTTCTCGGGACCTTGCCTTCATCTTGCTCGGGTAACAGGGGAGTCCTGGGTCTCACTCTATTTAGTGCCCAGGAGAAAAGACCACAGCTTCTCTGCATCTTTCACAGCAAAATGCTGCTTTTAAAGTACCATATGCAAACTCAAAGTGTCCTTAGACTTGCACTTTTAAAAAGTGGCTCATGGGGCCGGGCACGGTGGCTCACACCTGTAATCCCAGCACTTTAGGAGGCCAAGGCGGGCAGATCATGAGGTCAGGAGATCGAGACCATCCTGGCTAACACGGTGAAACCCCACTTCTACTAAAAATACAAAAAATTAGCTGGGCGTGGTGGCATGTGCCTGTAATTCCAGCTACTTGGGAGGCTGAGGCAGGAAAATCATCTGAACCCAGGAGGCAGAGGTTGCAGTGAGCCAAGATCACGCCACTGCACTCCAGCCTGGGCAAAAGTGAGACTCCATCTACCAAAACAAACAAAAGAAAAGCCAGGCGCGGTGGCTCACGCCTGTAATCCCAGCACTTTGGGAGACTGAGGCGGGTGGATCACTTGAGGCCCAGACTTCACAACCAGCCTGGACAACATGGTGAAACCCTGTCTCTACTAAAAATGCAAAAAATTAGCCAGGCGTGGTGGCATACACTGGCATCCCAGTTACTCTGGAGGCTGAGGCACAAGATTCACTTGCACCCAGGAGGCAGAGGTTGCAGTGAGCCGAGATCACACCACTGTACTCCAGCCTGGGCGACAGAGCAAGACTGTGTCTCAGAAAAAAAAAAAAGTGAACCATCTGGGAGCAGAGGCTCTGCCTTCATCTCATGGTTTTCAGGGAGGGCGCCCAAGGGATCATGTCAGACTCATCACCATTAAGGGATCATGAAGAGACACTCAAAACTCACTGCTAAAAGAGGAGGCATAAATATACTATTTTTTATCTTTCTATATTAAAAGCAGGGAAATCAACTTTATTGTTAGTAAAATAAACTCTGAAGTCAGTATTTCTCTACTTAGAAACCAAAATTAAAATAAAGTCATGGCTCTCCATTTAAAGAAATACAGGAATTTATACATATATTTACTTTTCCTCCCATCTGATGTATTTAAAATGCTTGATGAAATAGCCTATAAATTATCTATATCCCAGTCATAAAATGACTATCATTGTTCACCACCACCATGGATGGCTTCGAACATAAACTCACCTGAAGTTTTAAAGCTAAAGCAACCGATACTGAGGGTGACTTAAATTCTGAACGTGAACTGCATGCAACATGGACAGTGAACATGAGCACAGCAGTTCCTGGGCAAGCCAAGGATGGTGGCTGCGAGGCTGAGGCACAGCCTTGAAGGGTGACAGGGACAGCCTCACACAGGACACTGGGATGGGGCTGAAAGCCCAGGGCACCCGCCCGTGTGTCAGCAGTGCTGTGAGCACAGCGCCTGGCACATGGTAGATACTCAGCCAGCCCCTGCTGAACAACTGCACCAAAAAACCTGAATTTCCTTATCCCCAAGCAAAACTCACCCCCAAAATGTCCCAACCAGGACAAAACAAAAACATCCCAATGAAGCCCACAACAGACATTGCTGGAGTCCTAAACAGGCTTTTCTCTACCTAGAACCACTCAAGAACCAAGTATAAAATCAAACCAAATCACAAGTAAATTATGATCTCACATAATTATTCTTGCTATAAAGTGGCCATTAACTTTTTTTTTGAGACGAAGTTTCACTCCATCGCCCAGGCTGAAATGCAGTGGTATGTGATCTTGGCTCACTGCAACCTCTGCCCCACTGGGTTCAAGCGATTCTCCTGCCTCAGCCTCCTGAGTAGCAGGGACCACAGACATGCGCCACCCGGCCCGGCTAATTTTTATATTTTTAGTAGAGACGGGGTTTCGCCATGTTGGCCGGGCTGGTCTCAAACTTCTGATCTCAAGTGATCCGCCCACCTTGGTCTCCCAAAGTGCTGGGATAACTGGCATGAGCCACCGCACCCAGCTGCCATTAACTCTTTTTAAAAGAGCTACACAACCTTCCCTCAAACCCTTTTACGAAACGAAAGAACTCAAATCCTCAACGTCTCTTCCTACCACTCTTGCAAACTGCCTTGTTTGAACACATGGCATTCCAAACCTTTCAGTACAATAACTGTTAGGAGTCAGCCAAACAGCAAGCTGCTAACACCCTGGTCCTGCTACGTCCAGCTCAGCGATTCTCAAAAAGCAGCCCCGGGTCAGCAGCCCCAGCACCGTGGGAACTTGTGTGAAACACAAATTCTGGGCCGGGCGCGGTGGCTCAAGCCTGTAATCCCAGCACTTTGGGAGGCCAAGATGGGCGGATCACGAGGTCAGGAGATCGAGACCATGCTGGCTAACACGGTGAAACCCCGTCTCTACTAAAAAATACAAAAAACTTAGCCGGGTAAGGTGGTGGGCGCCTGTAGTCCCAGCTACTCGGGAGGCTGAGGCAGGAGAATGGCGTGAACCCGGGAGGCGGAGCTTGCAGTGAGCTGAGATCCGGCCACTGCACTCCAGCCTGGGCGACAGAGCGAGACTCCGTCTCAAAAAAAAAAAAAAAAAAAAAAAGAAACACAAATTCTGAGGATCAGGGACTCGGGAATTAGAAACTCAGGGGTGGGGCCTCACAGTCTCTGTCTGAAAAAACCCTCCAAAAGATGTCTGAGACTACTGTCTAGTTAATAAAAACAGTCACTCTGATTTGGAAAGATTATGCAGTTGTATGCATTTTACGGGATGCAATTTCCAAAGTCATGTAGAAAACGTTAGTCCGTGCAAGCGTGCATCTATGTCACATGGTTCAGGCTGGCAGAGCTGTAGCCCCGTGAACACTGACCACAGCTCTAACCCTGGGGGCTGGTCACACACTGTTATATTTTTATCATGGCAAAGACAGAAAACATGAAAAAACAGAACAACTCTGAGAGCTATCATGTGGGAGTGTGGTCCAACTTACAACACTCAGCACCAGAACTGGACTCTGCACTTAGAAGGCTTCAAAACTTAAGAACCTCAAACAATGAGTGTGTTCCCCTCCAGGAATTAAATAATGTCCAGAATGCTCTCTCTGGGGCATCATGTAATTCCTGGAGGGGACCTGAGAGCCGCTGCGTGACTCATCAGATCATTCCAAGGAAGGGACACCAAGCAGTCACGCAGCCTGCTCAGACCCTCTCAATGCTGTAAGAAGAAACGCGTCATCTCAAAATTCATCGAGAGGCAGGTAGTAACCTATCATTTTGGTTCTGGAAATCTGTAAACATTTTTAAATAAGATCACTATTCCAAAGGCAATTTAGAATCTATTCCCCCCAGATAAGAGTTCATTTGTTTCATCGTAAGCAATTTGCTACTAAATCCCCAGAAACTTCCAGAAGTCCAGTCTTCAAATCCTGGGATCTTCCAGGGAGTTCTCAGAATGAACGTCTGTGGGGCTCCTAAAACTCCCTCTCCAGAAATGGGCTGGAGAACAGTTGTGAGAAGCTCCTTACGAAAGTCACGTCACTCCTCTTGCCTCAGGCCTGCACCTCTCTCACAGCCGTGAAGAGAAGTCTCCCTCCACAACAGAGACTCCCACAGGGACACCAAGCAGACAAGAGGTGAGCCCTACCACCAAGGGGCTGGGCCATCTCTGGCCAATCCACACCCTGGCCGTGTGTGGCAGCAGGTCTAAGGGCTTAGGTCATCAGGGATACTGAGAGGGATGAAAAAGTGGACATACTTTTTAAAAAATAGCTTTTAAAAGACAAAATAGGCCAGATGTGGTGGCTCACGCCTGTAATCCCAGCAATTTGGGAGGCTGACGTGGGAGGATCACCTGAGGTCAGGAGTTTGAGACCAGCCTGGCTAACATGGTGAAACCCCGTTTCTACTAAAAATACAAAAAATTAGCCGGGTGTAGTGGCGGGCGCCTGTAATCCCAGCTACTCAGGAGGCTGAGGCAGGAGAATGGCTTGAACCCGGGAGGCGGAGATTGCAGTGAGCCGAGATTGTGCCATTGTACTCCAGCTTGGGGAACAAGAACAAAACTCCGTCTCAAAAAAAAAAAAAAGGCAAAGTAACAAAACAACTGATGAGGCACATAACTTTAATATTTCCAATATGTTCTCCAGAAAAACTCGGTTTCACCATCCTGAGGTGATCAGACTTCTTACAGAACTTAAAGTGGGATCACTTGTAAAGTAGTTTTACTAGGAATCAATCTCTAAAAAGTCGGTACCATTTAGGAAGTCAGAGTTACACAGAATGGCTGGCAAAAGCCTGCCTCATGAGAAATATGCCCAAGCCAGGAGCAGCTGCCCAGAGTGACGCTGGACAGTGCAGCAGGGGTGATCTGTCAACTCTGCACCATGTTAAAAACAAAGGATATCTTAAGAACCAAATTCCTTTGACAACTTAAATGTTATTTTTCTAAAGACTCTAAGACTCATGACTCAAACCTTTTTTTAAACATATGAAAAGCCTAAGGTTTTGAAAATCTCCTTATAATAAAGTCTTGAAAGTTCTGATGCTATTTGAAACCATTTTCTCCCTAGTATAACACTGTATGAGATTTAATATAGTTGTAGCTAACATCCGATTTATCTAAAAGATTAAAAGTTTTAAAGAATTTAAACTAATGCTAATTTAAAAAACAATGCGTATCTAAAGTAAACAAGTTCAAAATGCTCAATGTTTTAATATAAATTCCCACATTTCATTGCTAAGGCTTTCTTAGAACATGTGACAGAATTTTAAAATTCCATAAATTTCTTTTAAAGGTATTAGCACTTCAGCCACTAACAGGAAGTTACCCAATTATTTCTCAGCCTGTCCTGGGAAAAACCTAGGTGGCAACTATGAAACCCTTCCATTGTGAGAGTACGGGAACCAACTGGAGTGTCTTTCCTGGCATCTGTGGGTGAGGAAGGCTGCGCTAGGAAGAGAAGCGGCCCAGGGCCGGCGTGCACGGGAGTCGGAGAGCTGGAAGAGATAGTTACCCGGGGTTCTTTGGCTCACTCTCTCGTGAACTTCCTCCCTTCAGCTTCCTAACCAGCTTCTCACTGCTGCGTCTAATGGAAGCCCGGAGTTTGCTAAAGGAACCACTGCGTTTTAAAGATCCAGTGCCATCCTGAAAAAAACGTGAACAAATGTGAAGCTGCAGGTGGTTCTCCCTCCCGCCCACAAGAGCCACACTGGGTGCAAATAAGAGCGCCACCACGGTCACCCTGCTCGCCAGCAGCTCACTGCTGACAGAGTCTTGCAGAAACCACCAATTACCATGTACGTAAACATACTTTTAACTAAACATTATCCACTTTTAATTTCATTAAAGATAATCCAATGATCATGAAAACCTTTAGACATAAGGAAGCTCATTCAAACAAAAGTGATCACATCCCAAAAGCAATATGAATCCTACTGCTATTCTGAGACAAAAGCCGACACACAGTCTCAAGAAAATTAAAGCAGCTTCTAGGAATATTATCAAAATCGACTTCCACATTTAACAGATATGTAAGCATCTGGTCCAAGTAACACAGTAGAGGACCCAAACCATTTGGATCTGACAGAGGCTCTTCCTTTTAACAGTTTCGTCTAAATGCAATAGTTGGAGGTGCTGTTTCCTTCAGTAAATTTTACAGAACAGTTTCCTTAAATGTTAACTATAAAGGTGGCTGGAAAATTAAATAAAATGCTCATTCTATACAAATAACTAAAAATCCTTAGACAGCCTTGTAGGGAGGAGAGTGCCCAGCTCTCATCTTAATTGATTCAGGTATTAATAAGTGAAATACTTGGCAGAATCTGAACATGAAAATAAAAAACACAGTGAAGAAAATGTGCAGACAGCAGCACTTCTTCTTGGAAGGAATTCCTTGGTGAGATGAACTGTCACCCCATGACCCCAGCAGCTCTGCCACGTGGCGTTTCATGGATAAAGAGTGAGAGAAGTTCTACCAAGCAGACAGACACCAAGACACAGGTCAGTCGGAGTGAGTTTATTAGAAGTTAGAAAGACACAAATACACAAATCACTGAGCACTTCAAGATTAGTAGAGAAAAGCAGAATGCCCGAATTCCACACACAGACTACACAGCAAATGCTACTGGGGCGTATCCTAGGGAGACCCGGAGTCCGAGCAGGAACCCCAGGGCTCTAAGTACCATGGGGCACGTGCGGCACATGCCTTGCTCTAAGGCTTAGTTACGTCAACAGGTCACCGTCATGCCATTGCAACAACACCTTGTGTGACACTTAACTACCTGTTATCAGAGTGAACAGCTAATCGCTCTTAATTTTTAAACTCGTGTATTACACAGTAAATGAATTTTATTAATACAATTTATATTACTAAGTACATATCTGGCAAAGCTACATGTATACAGAAATCAGGAACCCCCCAAAAAGGACAGCAGCACCGAAAGGAATGGCCAGTTCACAGAGAGGTGCAGCTCTGACAAGATCCTAGGGGGCTGCTAGACACAGCGGGCAGCACTGGAGAGAGAAGGGAAGCTGCGGGAGGCGCCACCCGTCATGCAGGAGACAGTGTGAGAGTCACGGGCGGCTAGGCCTGTCAGACAGAAAGGAGAGAGAAAACCCACGTGAAACCGCGGCGAGGAAAGGCAGCAGGCTCTGCACGGTGCAGCCTGGCTTACAGTATTTCTAGGTCACAAGTCTCAGCAGCCTTCTGAGTGGCTTTAGGACTGGGATGACCTTCTGCCTGCTTCTACCAGCCCAGCATAAAGCAGGTGCTGGGCCTCATGGTGCATTTCACAGAATTCAGACTGGTCCATTCCCAATGGTCAGCAAAGTAAATTTCAACACTTTAAGAGTAAAGATTGGCAATGTATTAGAAATCTCCTTGACACTTAGTGTAAAAGGCTTTACAAGTAACTGTACATAAGGAGATTATGCAATGAGAAACATAGGGACCAAAATAAAGGCTACAGGTATGACTTTCATTCTCTTAAAAACACATTTTAGACATTTCAGAAACTTTAGGAAACCATGGAGTTTAAAAGTCTACAGCCCATTTTAAACATGCAGTTGATAATCCAAAAGAAAATTAATTTCCACAGGCAGCAATGCGTCCTGGGTCCTGCCAGATTGGAAAGCCGACGTCTCGACAGAAGCACCAGACGGCAGGGCCTGCGCCCCGCCCGCTCGGACTCACCATGGGACGCTGAGCAAGTCATTTAACCAGCCCGAGCTTCATTTTTCTCATCTTTAAAATGGAAAAATAACACTTGTTACCAACACCTCAAAAATGTTGGGAGGACAAGAATACATAAGTTTTTGCTGCTCTTTAGAAAAAGGATGCTAAAATGCTAACACAGCGTCATCAACAGTGCAGCCCTTGCTGTTCATTTCAAAACTCAGTGCTACACTACAGTAGTGTTATGATAATACACCTGAACTAAATACTTGGCAGAGCACAGAAGATTCATTTCACTCAGATTCAAAAGTATTTCATGTGACACACACACACGCTCACTCATGCTCTCTCTCTCTCTCCCCACTCTGCAGCTGCTGGAGTAGCAAGCTGACAACTGACAGCTGGGCAATGGGCCCAGGAGTCCCAGAACTGGGGTCCGGCCCAGCTGCCTCCTCCTCCCTGAGCCTCTGCAGACCCAGACCAGCACCTGGAGTTGGCAATGGAGCGGGTCTGCCCCACTCTGGGTCAGTCGCCCAGGCTGGAGTGCAGTGGCCTGATCTTGCCTCACTGCAAGCTCCGCCTCCTGGGTTCACGCCACCTGAGGACCTTGGCTGTGAGAACCAGGGGGAAGGCCGGCGGCTGCCCTGGCCCAGGCAGATTTCCTTTCAACTGGACTTCAGGGCCTGGGAGGATTCACTGCATTCTAACAGCTTAAGAAACTGTCTACCTCTTTATATTGCTGGGAAAGAATATTCACATTACAAAAGTGGGTTATCTGAGCAGGATTAAAAGGATAATGTGTTCACAGTTTAAAAATATGCAGTCATCATTATTATCTATATACAGTGGGATTTCAGATAATTTGGTGCTTTTTACATTTATTTATTTCTGGCATATTCTAGTTGTCTTACTAGTGTAATTTGAGACAGAGTCTGGCTCTGTCGCCCAGGCTGGAGTGCAGTGGCATAATCTTGGCTCAATGCAGCCTCCACCTACTGGGTTCAAGCAATTTCCTGCCTCAGCCTCCTGAGTAGCTGGGATTACAGGCATGCGCGACCATGCCTGACTGATTTTTGTTTTCTTCGTACAGAGGAGTTTTTACCATGTTGGCCAGGCTGGTCTCGAACTCCTGACCTCAAGTGATCCGCCTGCCTCGGCCTCCCAAAGCCCTGGGATTACAGGCATGAACCACTGTGCCCAGCCCTTAGTGTAATTTTTAAAAAATAAAAATCCATCTATTTCTAACAATATATTCCATTCCCCAATAATCCTAGGTAAGAATTTAGTGTATTTGAAACGTGTAGAAATCTTAACATGGGAGCAGTGCGAAAAGAATGGCAAGACGGAGAGAGGCTGCTTCAAAAGGCCCCAGCAGAGCTGGTGACCTGCAGACAGACAAAGGTGGTGCAGCTG